ATCCCAGGTGTGAGAGAAAGAGGCCCCAGCCCCTGCTCCGAAAGATTTGTGGTAGAAATGCAGCTGCCATACAGCGATGAGTCCAGCGGGGGCGCGGGGCAGAGGGGTGAATGCCGGGGATGGCCGGGCTGATGTAGGAGCTCGCGGGTAGACATCTTGGTGAACACGCTGCCAGCACAGGCACGGCTTTGACAGCTCTGGGGGCCGACATCCACATCACAGAAAAGCCGAAGGGACTGATTCTGCTCCTTCCCTGGTTGTACAGCAGCGCAACGCCACTGCCAGCCAGGGAGCAAGACCTGATTGACACGGGGGTGGCTGTGAGCAGGCCAAGGCCCAGCGTGGTTGCTCGCTAGGGCTGGCTGCTATTGACAGCCCTGAGGCTCGCTCTAGAACAGGCTTCAAACCCACCCAAGGGCCTAAAGCCAAACTCCCATGAAATGGCCATTTCTCAGCTGTGTCTTCGACGCGCCCGCGTGATTTCAGACTGAAATACACCCTCAGGGCATCCAGGCTGCCTGGCAAGGCTGGGCTGGGCTGAGGGAGCTCAGCGCCACGGCGCCAGGCAGCTCCGACGCAGGCCATGTTGTCTGCGCCCGCTCAAAGAAGAGCGGGCTCTGCACGCCAGGAACGTAGGGCGCCTGGACACGTGCAGCAAGGCGGCTTCAACACACTGCAATTACAGTGCATCGGAGCACTTACCGTGCTCCAGCACCTCATGTATTAGCATCCCTACACTTAACAATGGCGGCACAGGTGCTTTAACTAAAACTCGTTCGATGAGCTGTAGTTAAAGTGCCCCCGCCACCATTTTTCAGCGCGGGGACACTGATACAAGAGATGCTCCAGGCGCTTTAATTACAGCAGCTCTTGGAGCCACTCTAATTAAAGCCCCTCCTCGCTCCAGAAGCATGTGTATAAATGCCCTTAGGTCTCCACGGACAGAGAAAATGGCCCGCCACAGGGAGAGCGGCGCAAGGGTTAACAGTCACTTAGAGCAAGTGTCCCACAGAAATGTCTGGGGCTGGGGGAACAGAATCAATGCCTTCTCTTCCCCATGTAGGCAGCGCCTGCATCTCATTCCCAGAGCCACGAGAGGTGGTAGCACCAGCACGGGCAAATTTTTGTGAGGTGGTTCTTCGCAGCAGAAGCTTAGACTTCGTACCTGAAATCTGCCCCACAGCTGCCACCCTTGTGTAATCAGCTACACACTCCTGCCCGCTGTGGTCTCCACACAACTGCATCCTCCAATGGACACGAACACCCCCTTGAACACCCATGCACTCCAGGCCATGCACCCCTGCCCCATGCCTGCTGCCCTGCAACACGTCCCCCCCACAACTGCCAAGTCCCCCGACTCTCGGTAGCTGCTCAGCCCTCACGCGCACTCCAGACCCTGCTGTGTCACCTCGCCACACAAGCCACATGCCCCCTTGTCCAAGAAGTGGTTTGCTCTGGGTTCCCAGCACCTCACACCTGCCACTGACCAGTACAGGCACCTGGAGCTCACGCCAGCTCTCAGCATCCTGTCCCAGCTCCTGCCATACCAGAGAGTCAGTGCTAGGAGCAGGTCACTAAGCAGATGCTCCCCGTTCCCTCTGCATGTGTGAAATGAGCTGCAGGTTCCTTGTATATCCCAGAAAGACACCTCCACCTCCCGTCAAGGGGACAGCAAGTGACCCCTGCCTCTCAGAGCCAGATGGGTATGGGGATCTACAGCACTTTGGGGCTTCATGTTGGACAATCACGTCTGGGCTGGAATAACTTCTAGGAGGGGCTTTACCAGGACTCCCTGGGGGTGCAGGGTGGGAAATGGACCTTCATTCCTGCCCGACCTAGTGGGCAGAGGACCATCAAGCAGGAAGTATGCCAGAGCTGAGCTCCTCAGGGACTTTGGTCTCACCAATGTCACAGCAAGAGCCAGACATAATGGCTGGACATAGGTCTAAGTATTCCCAGTCTTAGGGAACTTGAATCTGGACCTGTCTGCTGCTCAAATCCTAGACCCTCCCAGCACGTAGACGTCTGCTCTGCACTCAAGACAGCTCTCCATCTCACACACATGCCATGGGCCGGGGGAGACAAGAACTTTGGATTCAAGGGTCACCTTGACTGCTCCACCCCGGTCAAGACAAAGCAAGGGGCATTAGCAATCATCCTGCAGGGTTACACATCTGTCATCCTGGCAAGGTACCCGACATCCTGAGGAGAAGGACCAACCCTCTCTTTCCACAAACACCACACGGCTCCTCCATCCCGTAGACCAGTCTGTCTGTGACAGGCATCAGCAGGAGTTCCCATGCAAATGATGATGCCACTCAGCCGCATCACCATGGGGTTGGAGGCCAGGTTCTGTCCGAGGGGTTGACCCGAGTGAGTTGACCCCCAGGTGAGAATGGTACTAAGAGTAAATTGGGCGTGCAGCCTGTTGGATAGGCCTGGGAGCAAATCAGATGAAAATAAATACTCAGGGATCAAGAACAACGTTCTGGCTCTTCTCCCCAAGTGGGATTTGGTGCTGGGAATTCTCCTGCCCCCAGCTCAGGTTTAGGGTAATGGGAAGTTACCCTATCCCCACAAGCAACCAAGGGGTTTAGACGCCCATCATTGGTGATTCCTGTCCTCATGGCACCAGTGAGGGGGAAGGAATCACCCCTGTGCTTTTTTAGCAAGGTCCTTGCTGAGGGAGGCCCCTTCCTCTGCTGTCCTGAGCAAGGGTCACTAGAGGGTTCAGGTTAGGAGGTCCCTCAGCGGTAAGATCCTGCTGATAACAGGGATGGGGGAGGCACTGGATCATTCTTGACAGCTTCATTGCTCAGGGCCAGATGTGCATGTGACAGGTCCACTGAGGTCAATGGCAACATGTGCATGTGTGAATGCACCTACCCTAAGCACAACAGATTAATTATCCTGACTGAGAGCAGAGAAACAGCCTGTCCCCTACCCCAGCTTCCTCCTTGTCCATCAGCTTGGCATCAACGCCACCCTGTTCCCTTTCTTGGCATTGCTAGCAAAGCCAGGGGCCTGACTTTAACCCTCTCAGGGAATCCATGCTGGGATTTCATGGTCTGTCCAGAGGCACTTGGTGTTTGGCAACAGCTCACTGAGACCAAAGCTTCATATCTTGCCTGTTCCCAGGACTGGGACTGAGACTGAGACTGTAAACGAGATGGGGCAGATTTGGCCACTGTGCAGGGAAGGCACTGGGCCTGTGGGTGGGGGAGGGGAGGAGGGATTAGGTTTAAGGCAGCTGGAGTGCATTAGCCAGGCCCGCTTAATTAGAATGAGCGTGCAGAGCCAAACACACCAGGATTAAACAAAACCCTCCAGATTAACAGATAGGCAGACTTCAGCCGAGGTGGTGAGATGGGGGTCAGCCCAGGCTGGGAGCTTCCCTAACCCCAGCCCTACTCCTAGGCCACCCTCCCCTCCCTGTTTAGGGTGGCAGAGCCCTCACAAGGAAGGGGCTGCAGTCTGCATGTCATCCAGCAGCAGTACCCACACCTCCTCCCTTTGGGAGCTCCTGCAGGGCCCCCCGGGGGGTAATCTTGGGTACTTACCGCAGCTGTTCAGCTTTCGCTATGCTTTCCCCTTCCTGTTACAGAGAGCACTCTGCTGAGGTGGTCTTGGTGGGTGCCCACTGGCACCTGGGCTCATGCACTTGTTCCATGCTCTCGGCTCACTCAGGCAGGTGCCACGCACAAGCTCTCCTTCCCTTTCCCAATCAGCAGGGCTACAACTTACTGTTTTTTAATAAAAACTGAGATGCAGATATCAACAGGTAAATTCTGGACAAGAGACCCAGGTTATCATGGGCCCCAAATGCCTGTATCAGACTGGAAAAGAGCTAGAGGAGAAGCTGAGCTACAGGACAGACTGCAGGGTCCTCAGACACCACAGACCCTATGTACCCCTGGC